CTTGTGAAGATTATGTTATTTAACAAGCACTCTCGAGGCGCCGTCGTGCTCTGATTCTGGAACTTGTGAAGATTATGTTATTTAACAAGCACTCTTGAGGCACCGTCTCTGGATGCACCGGGGGAAGGGGCGTTGGCTGCAGGGAGGAAGGGCAGCAGGACAGGACAGGACGCCGCAGCACTCCCAGTGTGTGTGTGCTTCGGGGACTTGAGCCTGGAGCCTGGGCCTCCCGGGGCTCCCGTGCTGTCCTGCCCCTGCTGGCCGAACAACGAGCCTCAGACCTTGGGGCCAGGCAGTGGGACCACGGCGGGTGCCCAGCGAACTCCCCAGGCCCGGGAGAACCGTTAAACTGGGACAGGTGCGGCTGCTGCGTCCGGAGCACAGAGGGCCAGGCCACAGCGCGGACACAGGTGCTGGGCACGGCCTGTGCACATGGGCACGGCCTGCGGACACGGACACGGCCTGCGGACACGGAAAGACACAGACACGGACACGGCCTGCGGACACGGACACGGACACGGCCTGAGGACACGGAAAGACACGGACACGGCCTGCAGACACGGCCTGCGGACGCGGACATGGACACGGCCTGCGGACACGGACACGGACACGGCCTGCGGACATGGACACGGACACGGCCTGCGGACATGGAAAGACACAGACACGGACACGGCCTGCGGACATGGAAAGACACAGACACGGACACGGCCTGCAGACACGGCCTGCGGACGTGGACACGGACACGGCCTGTGGACACGGACACGGCCCGCGGACACGGAATGACACGGACACGGCCTGCGGACATGGACACGGCCTGAGGACATGGCCTGTGGACATGGACACGGGCACGGCCTGCAGACACGGACACGGCCCCCGAGCACAGCTGGGCCAGGCACCGGGGAGGAAGCACAGCAGAGGGTCGGTCGGGGTCAGGAGACTCCTGCCATGGAAGGAGACGGTGGAGAAGGGCCCCACATGGGCCAGTGGCTGGGGCCGGCTTGGTCTGCTGCGCTCCTGCACTCCGGGTGACGCGAGGGGGAGGAGAGGGG